AAACGCTAGGAATATTAAATTAATTACTCGATTCTTTCCTAAAATTTACCCTACCATGCTTCACGTATTTCCACCGCGGAGAATAGCTGTTAGAAAATTTCGCTATGCATAGAGAACCGCGATAAACAAGTATAGTCGTGAAACGTTCCATTCATTATTCATAATGAGAATATACATCACCTTGCTGTTCGTGTTCAAATTTATTGCCCGTTCTCATGCAGATTTAATATCGCGGGCATTAAAAACACGTAACTCAGAGATTACCAGGGAATATTCTAATCTCCTGCCGATATTTATTTCCCCGATCTGTCACTCAGGCTACTCTCACGTACGAACAATATCCGCGAAGCTATCCAACGCGCTCGGTGGTTGAAGGTCGATTTGAAACCGCAAAGGTAAATCGCGCGGAAGATTCACGATGTTAGGTGGCGAAGTGGCACGTACGTTAATTTGATTTTCTTCGGTGCATTTCGGGGCTGGTAGCCGCAGCATTTCCCTATGTTCGAGGTCGCGACGTCGAGCGTTACGTGTCTGCGGAAGACGGGATCGGGCAATTTATCAATCCACGAGCGAGAGAACGACTCCTGGCCGGGCGGGTAATTTAACAAGATTGATGCGAAGCCGACATGCCACAGTTTCGCAGCTCGCGAGAAGGGGTCGGTCGGTGTCGGTGATGTTGGCGGTGTGGGATGACGTCGGTGGGCTCCGAGAGCACGAGAGAGGTAAAACTAGACGTGTGAGCGACTGGTTATTAGGAAGTCTCATCACGCAGACCGGCACAGAATCACGCAGAACATTAAAACAATGCCGCGGGTGATGGAGGTTGCTAACATCACCGTGTCTACTAGTTTCACCACTGTGTAACCTAGCAGATGACAAACGTCTCTTGGATCGCCTTGTTCGATTTCAATCGCTTTCCTCTAGATGTAGCTCTATTAGCTCGGTCGATCTGTCTATCCGAGTTTTCGTTGCATCTTAAATTTCTTCGGGGCACTTTTTCGTTCGAGTTTGCGTTTGGAAACGTATTCCATGATGAGTAAATTACGCGTCTTCGTTGGAAAGGTGCTGTACTCTGTTTAAATTAATTTTGGAGGTTGATAGTCGATATTGAGATTGAGGTGATGTAACGATAGTTCGATGTTGTGTTAATTTATTATAGCATCGTTATTTTATGCTATTGTTGGAAATGCCATCGAGTTGCATCGAGTTGCATCGAGTTACATCGGGTTAAGCAAGTTTTGTGCCAGTTTTGTTTGAAAGAAGCAGCAAAATACTGTAAAATTTCACAGTAATTTATTACAAATATAGTATTCACGTAATATTTATTATTATTTGAAGATCGGGAAAATGTTGCGAGGTATCGAGAAATAATTGACAATGAATCTTTCTTCAAAAGAAAGACACGAAGATCATGCAACTAGTTAGTTTTGGTTGCATATTAAAAAGGGCACTGTACTCTGTTTAAATTAATTTTGGAAATAGATAGTCGATATTGAGATTAAAATGATGTAACGATATGCATAACAGTGGAATAGAGTAGTTCTATACTGTGTTAATTTGTTCATAATTATTTTAAAATTATTTTATTTTAGAAAATGCTATCGAGTTGCATTACCTATTTTTGTATGACGAAAAGCCTTACTTGGGGTGCAAAGGATTATGCAAGCTTTGTGCATGTTTTGTTTCAAGGAAATAGTAAAAAATTGTAAAATTTAATAGTAATTCGTTGCAAATATAGTGTTTACGTAGTATATATAATTATTTGTGTTGAATATTTTCTGAAAAGATCTTACAGCGAGTTATTTTGGTAAAAGCAAGTACTCGCAGTGCTTAAAATGTACATATTAATTATTCTAACATGTTATATGGATGTGAACTTTAAATTGTAAGAAATTTTGCACAATGTTTTAATAACTTAAAAAATGAATATCGTTTCTTTTTATTATTATCGTTATCTATATTAACTTTATGTATATACGCTAATTTTACAAATATATATTGCATTGTATTTTGTAAAATGCGCTTATGATACATCCCATAAAAATTATTTGGATAAAATAAGATGTTTCTAAATTTCAAATGAAATGAAATTATTTGAATTGAAAATTTCAAAATATTGATTTCTATACGAAAAGAAATAATATTTTATTGAACAATCACAAATTGAATTTTAACTTCGTCTTCAAGCTACTTTGTAAATGCTATTATATAGAAACGAATACTCGGACTCTGATTAATAGTAGGACATTAAGTTTTTCTGTAACAGGGGAAAGTAGGTTAATACTGAAGTATCCGATATATTTCTCCTGTTAATGAGAAATCAAATGATAAAAAGAGCTTTGAACGTCGTCAGAAATATTAATCACGACAATTAAGTATATAAACTATATTAAAATACCTGGATCTTTTATTAAAAACTTTCGAAAAATTGGCAACGTGGACGATACTTGAAAATATTTTTCAACGTTTGCATATAATTTTAACCCTTTGCACTTGACGATTTTTTCGTCACAGAAAAATAGTAATTCGAAGACTTTCTGTCATAAAGTCGACTCCATTTTTAAAATGGTAAATAAGAAATCGTATGCAAATTAAAACGTAGAATTATTTTACTTCGACATTGCACGCATCGTTAGGTAATTTTAAGTTTGATATATTAATTAACATCGATTTTTATAATCTGATTAAATGGCGACTGAGTCACCTGTCGAGTGCCAAGGGTTAATGTCACTACCTTAAATCTTCATTAAGAGAAAGCTACAATCGATTATGCTTCGTGTTTGAATTCGTTCAGAAATCACAATTTATTACAGAATTATTCTCATCTGTTCGAATAAAATAACTAACATCTTTATTTGTAAAATAAATTGTTGTTGATACCTTGATTAATCGGTTTAATTAGAAGTACAGATGAATAAATCGAAGCCTAATGTATAATTTAATTAACTATAAATTATATTTGGTATTTTCTATATCGAGTAGAATAATATTTTCCTATTAATTTTAATATTAGCATGAATTTCTTATTTTATTAATAAGTATTTATTAACCTAACACAGTTAGATAGTAAATACTTAGTTGCTAAATAGTCAATTTTACACTTATAATTATTTTATGACCAATTTTTCATTGTTACCTTTTCAATTTCATCCTTTATGTCACCTTTAATGAACCGGAAACATTTTGACGTACATTCAGAATTACCGAAGTTTATCGCTTATTTTATATTGCATTAATTTACAATAATAATACAGTAGTATGAAGCAATTTTTGCGAAGTAGCAGAAAATCGAATCGTTAGATTGAGCTTGTAGCTTTGCAGCAACTAACTCTTTCATTTTGAATAATTTAGACCGCCCAAGTTTTAATATTACGAGAAAAAAAAATACACGTACACGACTTAAACCATTTGCATAATCATCAGCACGCAATCGCAATCCAGTTAATCCTACTGTATATAATCATTATTATTATAAAATAATTATTTTTCTGTTTTGCATAGAAAGCTTATATTCGCGAAACTGACGAAACAGGGTACCGTATAAATGGCAAATAATAAGGAGAATTCGTCGGTTTCTAGCAACTTGCTAGCAATTATTTGCGAGTTTGCATAACCGGTAATGACGGTTAACCGTGATCCTTCGTCTAGACGTTCGTTCAATTATTCACATACGCGAAGGGATGATCCAGCAAGGCGTCAAGGGCAGTAGCAAGTACAAGAGGGAAGCAATATTAATTGGCTCGTTCATCGCGATGTGGGCGGCCGTAAGTGTCGGATTCTCCGACAACTTTCCGTTAGGGTTAGGTGTTGTAAGGGTTGCAGGGGTAATCTGGCGGGCGACATGCCCGATAAATTACCCCCATTTTACTAGTTCCCACTGTCTAATGCTTTTTTATCAGCCTCCTCTCTATTCATACCTTCCTACGAGATTTACTACAAACATCATGAGTATAAATACAAATTTATAAAGTATAAATATAATAATAATTATTATATAAATATAAAAATATGACGAGTATCAGTATAAATATAATTAATAATGCGATAAATAAATTTGCGAATAAAAATACTTTTCTCGTTCATTTATTATGATACTACGAATATAAGACGAATATAAGTATAAATACAAGTAATAATGCGATAAATGAATTCTTTTTTCTTTTTATTGACTTTACGAGTTTTACAATCAATTCCCCAAATGGGAATTGTAAGTAAATTTGTTTATTTCATTCAAATAAAAGAGGAACCAAACCACGTGTTATTTCTAACCTTTATTGACCACGTCCCAAGAATTTATTGTCATACTGTAGTAATATTCGAACGGATGAATAATTAACCCTTTGCACTCGAAAGGTGCCCTTTAGTCACCATTTGATAAAATTTCGAAGCTCGATATTAACTAATATATCAAATTTAAAATAATGTAACATTGTGCGAGGTATCGAAATTAAATAATTCTACGTGTTAATTAGTATACGATTTCTTATTTACTACTCAAAAATTATTATCGGCTTTATAGCAGAAAATTTTTCGTCTCGTACCCTTCTTTAGCCAAAAAATCGTCGAGCACAAAGGGTTAACACGGGTAAATTATTTGTAATAAAAGTATGGAAGATATGAAATAGTATCGGTACTTCTTATTCCCCTTTCGGAAACATTTGATGCTTGATAATCGACATCATGAATTCTCTTAAACGTTTTAAATATTAAACGAAGCTGTTATAAATATGTTTATACATCTAGCACAGATTTAAATCTAACCCTTAGTCTGTAAACGTTTTTACAGTCACCTCACGATGTAAATGGGAGCCATATTGATTCCAGATGTTGTTCAGTGAATAAAAAGGTCTTTGAAATAATTTGAAGTAATTGAAGAAATGTTTCCAAACATTTATAATCGACATTCGAATATTTAGCATTGTTTAATATATTATTAACAATACATTATTTTTGCGAATATAGGTATATTCATAAAAAATAAAAATCGTGAGATAGGCTTCTCAAAAATAGAGGTCAGAAATAGCCAATGCGATTCTCATTAACAGCATAAGGTTCAATATACTTTTAAAGTATGAACAATTTTATTTGTCTATAAATTTTAAATACATTTATTACATGTAATATCACTATCAAGAAATTAATTTCCATAATTTAGTTTAAATTTGTAACCTCGATTATGCGATATTTGTTGAGGTCAAATTGATTATTCAATTAGATAGTGTAATTATTAATCAAATCATAATTATCGTAAATTTACATTTTTAATACCGAAGAATGCAATAAATAATTAAATTATAATTACACTTAGCCATCTACTCAAAAGTAATATATTTCACAAGTTTCGGGATTTTTAATTGGATATGATATATCTCAACTTCGATTTTAGTTATGGCTTTATTCGTCTATGTTTTACATAATCCGTAATTTTATGTTTCTATAAAATTTAAATAGCTCCTTAAAAAGATACACACAGGCACAATCTCTTTTTCAAAAACTTTATTAGTCATTTTATTACCTGCTTAACCTTTGTCTCATTTTAATGCTAACGAGATTTAAATAGAAATACGAGATTCGTTGTTATTAGCTGCGATGAAGAAGAATATTCGTGTTGAGGTTTACAAGTTTGGGAAAAGTATTGCGAAAGGTGCCAGCACTCGGAGAAAGTTATAAAAAGTTGAGAAAATGTTAATACAGTTGGTATGTGTAATTCAAGGCTGGTGTTTTTTCAATAGGAAACTATCATTATTCGACACTTGACTCGATTAGGGAAAGTAAAGAAAATGGATAAATGAATTACGTATGAGAAGTGAGAAGAGCTTTATTATTAGACAAATGGCAAGAGTCACTTTGTTATTTCAAAGAAATTGACAGGATTTGCTTTCAAAATATTTCTCTGCTCGTAATAAATGGTTTAGTGAAGATAAACACGTGAAACATACATCAAAGCAAATATTTTACTTTATATAAAATAGATCATTTTGACCATATCGTCACCGTTTACAGGACTTATTCATCACCATTTCCTATAATATTTAAATCTTTAGAATAAAATCCAACTAAAAAAGGAAAACCTATTAATCTTAATAATGAAGAAATAAAAATTATTCTTTTTACTGGATAAATATAAAATATTCCATTATAAAATTTAATATTTTGATTCTTATTTAAATAATGAATATATCTTCCTACACATATAAATATTAATGATTTAAATATAGCATGAATAAATAAATGAAGAAAAGCTAAATTTTTTAAATTTATTGATAAAATTCTTATTATAAATCTTAATTGTCTTAAGGTTGAATAAGCAATAATTTTTTTAATATCTAATTCAAAATTTGCAGAAATACCAGAATATAATATAGTTAATCTTGATATGAATAGAATTATATTTTTAAAATTTAATTCCAATAATTCTTCATGACGAATTATTAAATAAACCCCAGCTGTTACTAATCTTGATGAGTGAACTAATGATGAAACTGGTGTTGAAGCCATTATTGCTATAGGTATTCCTATAATATGGAATTATAATAATAGCAGAAAAATATCGAAGCAAATAGATAAAATTATGGAAAGTAAAAAGAAAACAACCTACGTTAGCAAATAATGTAAACAATTTATTTTTACAAAAGTAATGATCATAAAAGACTCAAACAATTTATTCAGAAACTTCAAATTAATGATTTTTATAAATAGCTATTATACATATTACTAACATTGTATTTGAGGAAATAATAATTCATGTTATGAAATAACATACGATTAAATATGTGAGGTTTTATTAATTATATTTATATGAAGTGTAGTATGTTTTGAGTGGGTTCTTTAACTAACAATAAGCTTCATTCAGTTGGCAAAAAATAATATTTTAATTGCAATTGTATTGTAGGGTGTACCAAAATTCACGCAAGAAATAATTTGGATAAAAAACAGATTTTTAATTAAAAATTGTGAAACTGTAGATTGTAATTCACAGCTGCCACGCTGTCTTCTTTTCGTTGGCAACACTTTACCATACAAATGGCGCAAAATTTAAGTCTTGCATGAAGTTTTGAACACCCTATATTTATAATATTATTTATATTATTAAACAATATTACTAATAAAGATAGTATAATAAGAATAATCTAGTAATGGGTGTCCCAAAATTCACGCAAGAAGTAATTTTGATAGAAAAGGCTGGTTTTTAATTAAAAATTGTAAATATTGCTTAACAATGAAGACGCGTTGTTTCATGTAGCGCTCTATTTTTAATAACCCTGAACTGTCAGCTGTCATACTATCTCTTTTTTTTTCGTGAATAACATTGTATCGCGCAAATGACACAAAATTCAAATCTTGCGTGAATTTTGGGACACCCTATATCTCCTATTATTATTATTTTAATTTAAAACGTATCTATTATTCTAAAATTTTCTTCGTAATTATCTTGATGGGTCAATAGAATACTCGTTTTATCAATTTCCTATTTAGTATCGCACAACGGCTTTATTTTATATTAATTTAAAAAGTAGCATAACACCCCTTTTTAAAACCTGTGTTACAAAGGATATCTATATTTTAAACGTTACCTACAATATTATTAACGAGGACAGTATAGCAACAACAATAATTTACTAACTCTCTACACTGGATTTATTTAAAATATATCATACTAAAATATTTACATAATGCGATAGTAACTTCCCGTGTAATTATATCGATAGGCCAATAAAACTCTGGTTTTATTAATTCCTCGTTCAGTATCACGTAACGATACTTATCTCAATTTCGGGTTAATTGCAAGACAACCAATTTTCTACCAAATTATTTACCATATTACCAATAAAGACAGTGTAATAATAATAAGCTAGTAATTTATTTAAAGTGTATTTATTATTTTAAAACTTCTAAGTAAGATGGTAATAAATTCTTTCATAATTTTAATAAGATACATATCGCTTCCTGTCCAGCATCACGTAACGATACCTACACCTTAATTCAAAAAGTAGCGAAACATAACCTAAACGCACCTTGCAAAATCCGTATTTTAAGTGCAATACTATCTACAATATTACTGATAAAGACAATGAATAATTTATTTAACTTTCAATTGGTGATGTACTTTTTTGCTATACGTGTAGTACTTTTACTATACGTTATTTACTACCTGATTTTATCATATTAATTGTGCTGTGATGATTGAAATAAATAATAAAAGGTATATTTTTATTAGTAATTGAAGTGAAATTTATTTCTCTTCGTTTTAGTATAAACACGATAATTTGTCATGCATCGGTTAAATACGGTGTCAATTTGAGGTTAAGTGTACCTATAACTCCATTAAGCGTACCTAACCTAACTCTAAAGTTGGAGGTTAAAGTGTATCTATTATTTTAAAACTTTTAGATACAAAGATAGTTTTCCTTATAATTATCTCGGTAGATCGATGAAATACATACTTGTCTTACCCTATTGAATATCACATAACGATACTTTTATTTTCATTTAAGAAATAACAAAACATAACCTATCATCAAACATACCTTCCTGAAATCTATATTACGAGGAATATCGGTATCTTGAGTATAATCTGCAGTGTTATTAATGAAGACAGTGTAATAACAATAAGTTAGCCATTTATTTAAAGCGTATCTATTATTTCCACGCATTTAGATACAGCGATAATAAATTCATCTATAATTATCTCGATATATCACTAAGATATATACCCGTTTCATCGATTTCCTGTTCACTATCAGCTAATAACACTTTCATCTTGATATAGAAAATAGCAAAAACATAACCTGCATCGAAACACACCTTCTCGAAATCCGTGTTCCAGATGTTATCTGCAATTCAAATATTATCTACGGTATCGCTGATACAGGCAGTGTAACAACAATAAGCTAGTAATTTATTATTCGAAACTTTTGTATTCCATAATTATCGCAATAGATCAATAAGTTATATATCACTTGGCCGTGCAACATCGCGTAACGACATCTTTATCTTGATTTAAAAGGTAGCGAAACATAACCTATTCGCGAACACGCTGCCCGATAACGCCTGGCTGTTCGTACAAGCTTGGCGTTGCATTGTTCCAAATGTGAGGTGCAAGCGTAGCTATTTTACCGGGAATTTCTTTTCTTTCCTTCTTTTTAGGTTGAACTTTCTCCGTGCAACGCTGTAAAGAGAGTGCATAAAAGAGGTTCGGAAAGAGGCGCACCGCTACCGCAGCGACATCTTAAACGTATTCAGGAAATTGGCCGCGATATCGGCGCCAATTTATCGCCGTGGGATACTCGAAAGTTGCGGCAATGCCATCCGCGGATGACTCCGCAAACGCGCCAGTTGTCGTCGCCACGGTAACGCAGAACCACTTGCAACCGCGAACATTTGAATAATTCGGCCGTTTGCAAGCGAACTTACAACGCCATGCGCATACAGCCGGATCATGGCCGCTACTTACTGTGCTGTACACCGATCTCCGGGTAGTTTTCGAGCCCGTTTTCGTGTCCCGTGAAAGTGGACATGTTTTTGAAGGCGCATCGCCTCGCTGCGTCGCTTCTTCCCAACGTTTTATCACGACCGTGCGACCAGCAAATGGCCTAGAAACAGGATCGATTGTTACCGTTTGGTGAACTCTCGTGATTGAAATACGATATCTCCAAACCTCTTTTCCTACTTTTTTCTTTTTTTTTCAAAATATACACCTCGATGTTCCCGCGACTGTTCCAGGCACGGTGCTCTTTATTAAGGGAGATAAGTCTAAGGGAGATAATGTTTATTTGCTTTCCCCGGAACTTTCGCAAGCGGAAAGTTACGAAAAAAATTTTATCGTCCGCAAATCTTTGCTTAATAAACCTGTTTACCGGGAATTATATATGTTGCAAACAAATATTACGTTCGTTACATGGTGGTTATGTCAGCGTGGTTATCGTTACGGGTTTGGGTTTCATTTGCCGCGTGCATATATCAATCGAAAGTGTCAAAGTGTCGAAAATATTTCTCTTTGGAATTTATAATAGAATGCTGCTTCGAACAGTGATGAAATCTGATAAAATCTTTTTCAAATTCTTCTGCTAGTAAGACACCTTTTCTTTACTATTATTTATTTTATATTTATTACTTTTCAATTTTTACGCGTTTAAAATTCCTTTGCTAGTAACAGATACACATTTATTTCATAGGTTATACATTTATTCTGTATCATCTGGCAACCAAATTTTGGAGAAATTAAACGACAAGATTCTTAAAATTGCTGCAGCTAAGAGGTAATACTAACAAAACGTGATGCATACTGTTTGCACATTGTTTTTTTTTTTTTTTTTAGAAATCAATCTAGAATGCAGAAAGATAAAGGCCGTGTTATGATATTTCAAAATTTATCAGATATTCGCATCTAGCGCGCAGCTAGAGCCTTTTCCAGCGTTACTCAATATCGAGCTGTTACGTCGAAATTAATTAGAAAATTAAGTGGCAAGTGTAAGAGGAGTTTCGGAAGAAGCTATTCGAAGTGGAAAATCGCGAGATCGCCGAACGGATAGAGTAGCATAGGAATAAGGTTAAGCGCCGTTGGCTAAATAGAGCAGAAGCACAGTCCAAAAGTATTTATCTTATGTAAATGATGCTCACTGGCGTAAAATCTGAAGCATAAAAGGCTGAAACTCCATTATAAACGGAAAATAAAGTTTTGTCCAGTAGCTGTAGCTGGCACAGTTTTGTCAGGATGAATTTACATTCAGATGGCGCTATCTAATCCGCAGTAAGTTAAAAAATTTACGACTTTCGGTAAATCATGACTCTAGCCTGCTTACCCCGCAAGCGAATGGTGCCGTGCGTCTGAATTGTTTATGGTTCCGCCATAAAACAATGATATGAGAGATTATAACTCAGCGAGTAGTGAAGTTCTTTGTGCGTGAGGCATCACCTGCACGATTTCACCTACGTAGAGTTATGACACCTCGGTTTATCAAATATGATTTGCAATCGCTCTTCGTCCGGGAAAGTTCAACTGTTAAAGCAGTCGACCTACAAAACTAACCGCGCATTTTTCCATTTTTCGTCTCCATGACGAATTCACGTACAGGTAAGATCGATGCAAATATCGATCGGACATTTGAGCTGTTCGCTGCACAAATCGATTAACTCTACTTTTTGAAAAATCTTAAATTTCAGTGTCAAAGTGCTTGGTATAGACGTAACATTTTATATGAGTGAACGACTCATATAGTATCAATCATACTCTATGGGATGGTGATTTATTGGCTAACGATTGCATATTTTTTTATCAATTATTTTATATTTATCAGTAAAAATTAATATCTTAAATAAAAAATATTTAGATAAATATTTGTATAATGTATTATTTATTAATATAGGGTTTGTATAAGATATGTGGGAAAAAATCTTATTATTTATTAATGTATAAGATATTATTTCTGCGTCCTACTTTTAATTTTCATATATATATAATAATTTGTTTATTCATGCTCATTTGATCGACGAATTTTTCCATTTTTTCCCGTCGATCTTGTTCGTTCTTTCGCTCGATTGGGGATTTTCTATGGGAATATTTTGCCTCGCATTCGCAGCCATTTTCTTCGATAACGTTTAATGCCAATCATGCATAAATACGCGGAGCTAAATATGGGATCAATAACAGATATTGTCACAAAGTTCATACACGTATAAATGATGGCTGTCCACGCGAAGGGTATTCAATTTCCTGTGTCGCATCCAATATTACATGAAACGTTTGACCAATAAACGACGCGTTTGTAACAACACGTGCGACATTTTCGAGATTTTGCGAAAAAAATAAGCAACTCTTTGATTCTTTCACGTCTATGCTTTCTATCATAGAGCACAGAGCTGTGAATTATTAAATATTTATTGGATACCTCATTGACGAAATTTTTATAAGGAATAAGAATAAATAATATAACATAACTTTTAAAATTATCTGTAAAATAATCTCATATTTAATATTTTAAAACGCCAACGTATTTAATCTAAATTTGTTCTATGGAATAATTACAAAATACGATATTAATATGTTATATGTTATAAAATATTTTGTTAGCTAAATATCGCATCAGATGCCTTATTAATTATATTTTTACATACTTTGTAAACTCGCTGTAAATTTTTGGAAAATGGAGGTAGATGATAAAAGAGAAGGTTTGAGGTTATGTTATTTTGTATGGACTGTACCGGCGGTTGATTTAATATTTTTCAAACGCTTAAAACACCAACGTGTTCACGTTGATCCAGCGAGCGTTCTTTCCTTCCAGCGTTGTTACGCCACTGAGTCGTAATTTAACCGGAGCGTTTATGGCATTGTTGTGAAGCAGTGCTTGGCGTCGTCTTATAAAACCAATTTCGCGGGTATTATGCAAGCTGTCACTCCCATAGGTGAGTTATGGCAAACGTAGCCTACAGCACAAACACGTATTACCCTGTGCCAGCGTTTTTTATATTTACAACAATGCTCGTTATGACGTGAAATTAGTAGCTCTTGTTTATGCAATATCGTGTACGTGATCAATTTATTCCCGCTAAATTTTCATTTCATGCAGCATCATTTTACATAACGATACCGCTGTACTTGAATGCTTTTTTCGCGAATATTTGTGCGAATATTGACCGATTGTTAGAAACGTGTGTGTTGCGAAAAAATTGTTATATATATATTTTTAACATCTTCGTAAATTTATTTGTATTAACATTATTTGTAGCATTATGTGTATTTATATTATTATATCTGTAGTATCGTTTATAATATTATCTATATTATTCATATTTCTAATATTGAATTATAATATTCATGCGTGTAATGGGAAGATACATGTAATTAGCAATATTCTGAAATATTAGAAATGATAATGATATTGTTCTTAATTCCATTTTATTTCTAACACTTTAATTCTATTTTTAAGTTAACCAATTATGGCACTGGAATGATTGTATTGAAATAAGGAATAAATAAAGTGAGCATTTTATATGTAACAATTAGACCGGAAGATGCATCGTTAATAATAATAATATCAAAAAGATACGAATAGAAGATGATTTTACGAGGAAAAATAGATCGAAAATATAGAATAATATTTTTTCCTATAAGCCTTTTCCTTCGAGAAAATCGAGTTTGAAAATTCATTGCGTACGCGCGCATTCAGCTAACTTCAGATCGAATGTGTTCAGTGTGGCTGTCGACGGAGTGTTGACGACTGTAATTTCAAACTCGATTTTCTCGAATGCGAGGTCTCAAACGAAAAAATTGTATTCTACATTTTCGATTTATTTTTGCTCGTAGGATAACCTCCTGTCCGTTTGTACCGCTCTTTTTTAGCCGAGCGTACTTCACAAATTTTCCGACTCGATTTTTTCGAAAACGCCGCAAAGCACAAGCTTTATTCTTTCTCGTCAACTTATTTGGTGCGTGTAAAATATTCTTTTTCCTCGAATACTGAATATCTATTCCTTCTGGTTACACTGCTCTTTTCTCGTCATTTTACGTGTAAATAATGTTTTCTTTGCATAGTTTGTTGCAAGGTAGTACTTGCGAAATAACTCATTGTCAGGGATCTATCAGAAATTTCTAAGACTGCTTGATCTAACAGAAAACTCTAAGACTTGGTTCGAATAAATAGGACAGGGTAGATACTCTCCTATTTAAATATTCATGGAAGTTAATGAAATCTCGAATTTAACACTAGAACTACCAATCTAGTGAAAAATACTGGAATCAGAATTTTCCTCTTTGCAATTATTAAAAACATATACCAGCTTTTAGAAAAATTAATATCGGCTCGTATTGAGACAAAATTGTAATTAACCCTTTGCACTATATGATTTCTTATTTACCGTATTAAAATCATCGTCGACTTTATGACAGAAAGTCTTCGAATTACTATTTTCCTGTAACGAAAAAATCGCCGAGTGCAAGGGGTTAACACGATTAAATAATTAGGGGACTCCTAGTAGAACACATCTCTTGTTGTAAAGATATAACTTGGTTAGAAAATTAAAGTACACCCAGTATAGTATAATTTACGTGCACTAGATATATGTTAATACAGGTAGCTCTCCTACAACACGGTTTCACTATAACACGATTCATAAATTGCGGGAACCCTCCTACAACACGGTATCCTATAACACGATAAGAAAATTGCAAAAATCTCTGGACAACACTGTACTTCTACATGAGCAGTGACGACGAAGAAATTTATTAAATTAAAGTTGCGTTAAATTAAAATAATACTTTTGTTTTTTTGTTTTTGTTTTGTGTTGTACATACATTTGTATTTTTAATAAAAATTAAGTTGTGTATGTAGAATTAAAAAAAAATTTGTTTTTAGTAAGTTTTCGGAACGTAACCTCACTTTTTGTACTGGCTGTGGGTCTCATACAACACGGTTTCACGCGACACGGCATTTTCTAGGAACCTATCCACCGTGTTATAGGCGGGTTACCTGTAGTACCAATGAATATTTTTTAAACACGAAGCATAATAATTAATATCAGT